AACGGAGACAGCTACAGCTACCGGGAGCTACCGCTACGGCCACGGCTACATCTACGGATGCTGCTACTGCTACGACGGCAACAACCCCCCACCCCGACCATCCCCACCACCCCCGCCACCACCACCTGCCACTACGACCACTACTGCCACTTCCACGACTACGACCATGACCACCACCGCAGCCAATCACTAATGGCAACGATACAGGTGATCAGCATACAGCAACGATGTCATGGTGATTGTTGCTGTGGTTTGCGGCGGGCTTGCTGTCAATAGAGCAAACAAGCACACCTAAACCTTCACCGGGTCGACCAAGCCCCGGTTTGGGCTCAAAGCCATAGCAGCCATCAACCGAACCGTGTCGTTGCGAAAGCGATGATGTCGTCCTTTGCGGTGTTGACTCTGGCAGTGCTCGCCACGTTTGCCACGGCACATGATCACTGCAAGTTCCCTGTGCATCACCCGGAGAAGCTCTGTTCTCCTACAACAGAGGTCTTAGGTGACCTTGACCCCACCACGCACTGTGTCCTGTACTCCGTGATGAACAACAACAAAAGTTGCAACACGGTCTGCCACGAAAAAAAGGCCAAGTGCGTTGACGCCGTGGACGATGTTCGCACGAAACACCCTTGCAAGTACAACAAGGAGGTGCACGTTGATTGCGAGACTGCAAACTACTACGACCTCCATTGCATCTGCGAAGTGGAGACAGAGGAAGAGCCTGAACCGCAGTGCGACTACCTGCATCCTTTGACTGGCAAGGCCGAAGTGGAGTGCACGCAGGGCACCTTCACCACACAGCTCAAGGATGGTGGCAAGAACTGTGTGGCTCTTGCTCGCCTGCACAAGCGCTCTACCTGCAAGGATTTCTGTGAGAGCAAAGGGGCCATTTGCGTCGACGCCGTCGACAACACCATCATTGGCAAGGGCTGTGAAGGATTTTACGACAAGGTCGAGGCTGTCGACTGTGATAGCACAGGATTTCAGGATTTGCACTGTGTTTGCACGAAGGAGGAGCCGACGACCACGACGACGACAACTACTCCAGGTTGTGAGGCGTTGCTTCCCTTCGTGAATCCCGGAGAGAAGTTCTGCACTGAGGGTGAGATCGTGGAAGAGTTGGAGGACGGCGGTGCAAACTGTGTCGTCTACGCCGTGTTGGCGAAGAAGTCGACCTGCAACGACTTCTGTGAGGCTCGCAACACAGCCTGCGTGAACGCCATCGACAACCTGAAAATCGGCACAGGATGCGAGTACGACCTGGAAGAGCAGGTGACGTGTGCATCGAAGCACTTCTTTGATATGCAGTGCGTCTGCCGGAAGCCAACTCGGCAAGGCTGCAGCAGCGTCGCTCTGTGTGATGAAGTTTGCAACATCACCTACGCAGAGGACAGGCACCAGGCACGCTGCCTCCAGCATTGCTCCAGCAACGCAGACAAGTTTCTGGATTTCGTGAAAGAATCCTATGGTATGGTGGAAGAGAAGTGCGAGGAGATGGATGGTGCAGCCCTTCTCCAGCGAAAGGTCGAGAGCAGTGTCGGTGCCGTCGCTCATCATGACTCTCATCGTTCGCATGCTCCCTGTGCGTACGGCAACTACTGCAAGGGCCTGTGTGAGGCCGTTGGATATCTCCACGCCTGTGAAGAGAAGTGCATGGCTGTGGCCCATGCAGTGAAATTCCTGCTCACCGAGTACTTCGACACCTGCATCGGCCCGCTGCAAGATGACATGAAGCGCTGAGAAACTCCACCGAAGGTGGATCTACTACCCAAGGATTCGAGCATTTTAATGGCATACGACGCAGATCATCGTCACTTTGAGGCCAATAAGTATTGTTCGGTGCTCGAATCTCAGGGGCTCAGATTATTTAGAGAGGCAGCCTCCTGACACACTGAATCCTTCGGGCCAGTAACTAAACTCACTTCAGGGGACGAAGCGGGCTTAGATCTTAGATGATGTTAGTGACTGTCTCAGCATTTTTCGCCGTGCCATCTCCAAATGGAGAGCGGGACGTTTAATTGTTCATCATGCGCAGCCTTCGGCGCCCGAAGGTTGGGGCTTACGCACTTCAGAGAGGGCCAATCCTCTTGCTCAGCTCTTACAAAAATCGCGCACAGAATTTCAACGGGCTGACAGCATTGCATGCAATAGGGAGATCACCTTTGAAGGCAGGGAGCTTGCCTGAGAGTGAGTGCCGAACCAAAGCACGAGAGTCTACGGAGTCTGCTTGAGGTCTCAGGGATTCGCTGCCGAATCAGCGCCGCCAAGGGGAGGCAGCCGGATGCCCTGGCCATAGTTCGGAGGTTGAGGGATGTTGCAGGGTTCGCCGGAAGGTAGCAGGGAGGACACTGTGGTTGTTTGGCCCGGCGGGCCCGTCATGGTGTCAGGCCGCGGGTCAACTAGTTTGAAGATGGAGGGTCTGTTAGAGGGTTGCGGCTTCTGACCTAGCCTGCTTGGCAGGTCTACCAGCTGTGTGTCCACATCTTGCCTCATGCTCAGTCTAATATTATTATTATTATTATGATTGATATTATTATTTTTTGTTTTCGGTAAGACTCTGAGCGCTCTCGTGGAGCCAAGGCGCATCGTTCGACCGCAGGTGTCAAATCAGCCGAAGCCCCGGAATTGAAAGCTGAACTTACATGAGCGTGATGGTCGAAGCAGAGCCGTGTTCGATGAACCCCACCTCCCCTTCACAAGCACTGCATCAGAGATCCTAGCATCATCAGGGTACATGAGGGTGTTATTGAAAGCTCTTCGGCTTAGATGCAGTGCTCTTAGCCAGTAGTGCTCCGCTATTAGGAGTCCAGAGTACCGGCTGTAAACCAGACCCGAGCTTCCAAACAGAAAAAGGTGATAGAGTTCGATAGAGCTGCTGAGCAAAGGTCATGGTAATTGTCGCGGTGACAACGATGACATCTTCAAGCCAACCGTGGGAGATGTTTACACCTGAAGCAGGATCTGAGCATGGGTTCAAAAAGATGACTATGTAGCTAACTCGCAACCATAGCAACAAGAGAGAGAGAGAGAGAGAGAGAGAGAGCCCTGCCGAAGAGCCCTGCCGAAAGAAAGAGAGAGAGAGAGAGAGAGAGAAGCCCAGTGTAACTCTCCCCGAAAGCCCCAGAACCTTGGGGGGCCCAATGGGCCGGGGAGCCTGACAAGCTCCTCAAACCCGAAGGAAGAAGAGAAGCCCAGAGCCAAAAACGCAACAGCATCTACAGCATAGAAGTGGCAGGAATATTGGCATTAGTTCTAGTTATGGCAAACTGCACTAGCTATAGTAAGTCTAGTCGAAGCCTGGGGTGAGCGGGACTGTGGAAAGAGCCCCTCGCCTGAGGAACCATCAGAGTTAATTACCACTTCTTTGAGAGGAAAGTGGGACATGGAAAGGGCCGTCCTTTCACCAAGTTGCACACGGAGAGGGGAGCGAGGAAGAGACATCAAAACCATCTGCATGACCAGGTCAAGCAAGAGGCAGCTTCAGGCAGCTGGAGAGAGGCCCATGTCAGCCGATGCTGGTAGCTCTTCAGCCTGTGTCTACTGAGGATGTTAAAGTCATGAAAATAAACGAATTAGGGATAATGTAGATATGCCACTTCGACAGCCAAAGTCGTTTAGCAAGAAAGCATGCAGCAAAGTGTGTTGCAGGTGTGCCATAAGGAGTGCACTGGCATATAAAGTTCTTTCCCGCATGGGTAATAGGGCGTACAAACCTCTGGTATTGAAGACGACATGAGCAGAATACTGACTAGTGATACTAAGCGTTTTCCAAGGGCATCTAGCAGAGCCCGGCATGTATGGTTACAGTGTAGCCCTTGCACTTGCGTGTGACCCTGCAGAATAGTATAATCCAATAGAGTCCAATATATAATATAGTCTAGCCTAATCTTTTCCGCGCCGGACTGAAGTTTGTGGCAAGTCCATGTTGCTTCGGCGCCCATTGCCCCTCCAACACCCTCTTCCAAGGCATTCACGACTTCCCATACTCCGAATCCTTCGCTCAGTAAGACCAGCACGTGTGACGAAACTTCATTCCCGGGCATACATAGACCGGACAACAACACAGACGCAACCAGTTCTTCGTGCCGAAGACAATCAACCAGAGACAGGTACCAATTCATGGCAATAGTCGAACATACATAGCAACACAGAGACACAACATGGCCATATCTGACTGCTAGCATTTGTTATGTCGACAGACCGATAAACGAATACTCTAGTAATGGATGTTTTTATTGCAAGTGCTGGTGTGAATGCGCATCTAGATTCACACAACCGAGAGGTGTGGTATACGCCAGTTGTGAGCGCCGAAAGCCTCTAGTAACCGGCTTTGTACCCCTCAGAGTCGCCTTTAGCCTTACACCCAGGCCGGCGAAACGAGCCAGAGGTGGCTCGGAGCCCTCAGGAGCGGCACCAGTGTGTTTGGATTGCCCATGCGGGTGCTAAAAGGAACCTTTACAAAACGGTTTCTCCTGATAGAGGGTCCCATGAAGGTAGTGCAAGGGGAGTGTGAGGATACTAGAGGGGTCTAGGGTTTAAGGTTTTAGGTTAAAGGAGTGCTGGCATTCAACAAACCATTGGAGAAAGACAGGTAACGGGGTCTAGTGAGTCTGGTGTTGAGGGTTTGGGGGACTTAGCAGAAAGGGCAGAGGTTGTGTAGCTGCCGGTGGATGTTTCTTTCTGCTCAAGCCAGATTCTCAAACCCTTTCTCACAGCAACCTGGTGCTCATGGTATACCTTCCATATGAAGCCTAAACTAAATGAGTCTAAGTAAAAGTGACGTAGAATCTGAGCCCTACCTCTAACGGCGCGTCCGAATGCCAGTGCGGACGACTCTCTGCCGTTGACCTCTTGCTCGAGAAGTGCAAGGCTTCAGAAGAATTTGTGACAGTATTTGTGACCCGACCGGAATCGACCAAGCGCAAGCAACTGCACGAACAGCGACCTCGCTGGATTGGTGATGTATTCGGCAGGCAGAGCACAGAATGGGGCCCCGAAAGGACGAGTGCAACGAGCTCCAGCTGGTTTCTTCTTGGACTCAGTCATTGAGCCCGCCCCGGGCACGCCCCATGAGGCTCTCGTGCCTGTTTCACCGGAGATGATTTCACCGTTGCGCATGGCTCCAAAGCGCAAGGCCCCAGAAAGATGTGCGCCCAGTCCAGAATCACTCGAGGAAAACCTGCTGCGTGATTCGGCAGGCTCTGCTGCAGATTGGGTGCTACAGGCCGCCAATCCTCGCTGCCCGCAACCGACTCAGCGAGCGCCGGCAGGCTTCTTTTTGGACTCAGTGATTGAGCCCGCCCCAGGCACGCCCCATGAGGTCCTCATCCCAATTTCACCTGAGCTTCCCCCGCCGTTGTACAGCCCGGAGGGCACTGGATCAGTGGTGCGGAGCTCCGAATTCGGTGCCGTCACAGATGAAGCAGCGGAAGCAGCTGCAATCCCTGATGCAGCCTTTCAGCAGCCCATACACCCGACTCCTGCCAGGAGTCGGTTTGATGTGGATTCGAGGGCAAGTACGGATGAGGAGTCGAGCGATCCTGAGATCTGCGATGATCCTGATGAGGAGAAGCCGTGCATGGTCGTAACTAGCAAGGCCGACCTGGAAGAAGCCACAGAACTCTGCCTGGTTCTGTTGCGAGCAGCCGCAGACGTCTTGAAGCAGAGCCCTCACATGGAGCACCCGTGGGCCGTTCCAGCTTGCCTTGTGGATGCCCGCCTCGAGGATGCAAACCCAGCACTCTTTTGGCGTTGCTGGCGGCACTTTTTCTTCGTGCCGAACCAGCCCAAACGGAACACCCTTTCAGAGTTTTTGATGTTCAGCGATGTTGCACGACGAGCACGGCGCAAGGTGCAGAAGGGCATCGTTTGTATATACCTGTCACCGGACTTGGAGTAGTCTCATTTCGATTCGTTTCCTCAATGCAAAAGCCACCGGGACCGTTCCTTTAACAGCCGGTAAACGTGGACATGACAGAAAGCAAGAAAGCCAGGCCGCGGCCGCAGCATCTCGGCAAGCCGCTCGCCCTCCATGAGGCCACAGGCTTCGCCTCGGTGGGGCTCTCGATTCTCTGTCGCTGTGGGCTCGTAGCCGTCGAGTTCGTGCCCCGATGCCATGTACTCATCTGTACTCAAGCGTGGGTGGTCAGTACTATCCGCAAACCTCCCGTAACTGAACAGAAGTTGCAGCAGTCCCCGAGGCTGAAAGCAGCATCGGCTCTTTCTTCCAACAGGTGGCAGAGAGGAATAGCCCACTGTGTAGTGTTGAGGATTGGAGGGTGTAGAGGTCCAAGCCCATGCTGAAAAAGAGGTCTAGAGGTGGTTTTGCATAAGACATTTCTGCATTTTCGTGCATGACTTAGTTGATTCCTGGCATCTTGAGCCTTACACTGTTCCATCCTGAGATCAGAAGGGCTTCGGTGAAGATGCTGCGTGTCGATGCAGGCAGAAACACCGACATTGAGTGGTCGTGAGGTCGTGACTTCCCATCATTGAGGAGACATGTGTTTGAGCCTCTGGCGCTTTAGTTAGGGCTTTGCGCAACAGTTTCGATCCAGCAGGTGGGCAGGTTTAAATAAAGCAGCAGTTCTTCAGGGCATCGATAGCGATTATCGTCCGAGGTTCCAGTAAGGTCTGGGGCAGTTTGTATGTCAATGCGATCCACATTCCGAAATTTTGCCTTGTGATGCGCAAAGCTCGCATGTGTGATGCGGAGAGGAAGATCCTGATGTTGCAATGTCGTGTTTCTAAGCCCCTTCAAGCTGTCTTCGAAATCACCTGTGATTCATAAGACGCGGCGAGGTCAGATGACACCATGCAAACATGGATGTCGCATCTGTCTTTTTGCTGTGCATGACGACAGCTGTGGCCAAGGAAAACGGCACCATGTTGAGGTATGCGAGATCCACATCTGAACTGACTCAAACTGCTTTCCTGACTTCGTCCGTACAGAGCTGTGGTTGTCTCCTTGCCTGCAGGCCTGGTTTATCCGTGAGTCCACATGCAACCCCCACGACCTAGCGCACGTCACTCTTGTCTGCAATCCTCTGCCCCACAATCAAGCTCGGAGCTCTTCCCTACTCTTCATTGCCGGGAGTCGGAAGGACTTCTAGGAGCCCCCGCGCAGTACCTGTGAGATACCAGAGTCGTGGCTTGCAATCTTGGCTCAGACGAGTGTGTTTGGGCTTGCGAGTGCATCCGAAATCAAAGCGAGGCCGGCGCAATTCCTGACATGTCGAAGCGTAGGCTGGCAGCCGAGAATGCACGGACAGTGGCTCTCAAAGGGCGACAGAGTCGAGCTACGAGCAGGTCGCCAGCGACATTTGGAAGAAGCTCGAGGGTGTGTCAACTCAGACCCAGAGTGCTGCAATGTATCAGTGGAAGAGGGGTTGTCTGCAATGTTGAAGCACGTTCTTCTGAAAGAGACGGTGTCTAACCGTAGCTGGTAGGCAGGGATTTTCATCCGAGAGCTAGGGCTCACAGCTGTCAACATCCAATTCGTATCGCCTCGAGCGGCATCTTGGGAGCTCATGGCTATCCCAGAAGATGGAAGCCTCGTGAAGGTGGTAAAGTTGGCCGAGTCTCTTTGGGAAGAACTTCGACGGACTTCTACACCAGATGGGTCAGAGATTGCGAAGGAAATTGCACGAGCGGTGCATGTCTTAGTGCAATCCCCTAGTAAGGTCTGTGATGTGAGCGCATCAGATCTCGCCGTGTGTCTGTGGGTCGCTGCATGGTTGAGGGACGCCCAGCCAGAGGTGTTGGAGGTATTGCCGATGCTTGTTGCATCAATACCTGGCAAGGCTGGCAGTCTGCGCGCACAAGAGCTCAGCGATTGCATGTGGGAAGTGGCGTGGCTGAAGGATGCCGCGCCAGAGGTGCTGGAGATTTTGCCGGCTCTCGCCGCACAAATCCCAGCCAAGGCCCATGAGTTGAAAGATGACAAGGATGACTACATATGCTTGTGGGCGGCATGGGAGTTGAAAGATGCTGCGCCTGACTTGCTGAAGGTCGTCCATGACAAGTTGGCACGACACCCTTCGGACGTGGACTTGATGGTGCCAAACGTGGCCGATTTGATGGATGCCTTGATGCAGGTCTGGTCGGAAGAGACGGTGCCCCAAGCCTTGAAGACACAGGTCCTGGATGCAGTTGTGGAGCAAGCCCCACACGCAGCAGTTGATATGTCTGCAAGGGACCTGTGTACTTGCATTTTCACAGGAAGCATCTTGCTCGAGGTGTTGTCCCTCAACGAGTCGGACTATGGACGCTTGCAGGACATTATGCCGGCACTCGCTGCAGAAATTCCAAAGAAGGCGTATTGCATGGAAGCAGGAGACTTGGGCCGTGTCTTGTCGGGGGTGGCGGAGCTGCACTTTGATGTGCCGGAAATGTTAGAGGCTCTGCCTTCGATTATGGCACAAATCCCAGGCAAGGTTGACGAAATGAAAGCAGCGAAAATGGGCTCGTGCTGCATTTGGGCGGCGTGGAGGTTGCAGAATTGGGCGCCAAACTTGTTGAAGATGGTGGCAGAAATCCTGGACGCGCTTCCCACTTTGAGTCTTCTTGGGTCGTGGAGCCGGTTTGCGCCGGCATGGTTCATCGACACCGCCATGGATGCAATCTTGCCGCAGATTTCAGGCTTCGTTGCTGACATGGAGGCAGCAGACTTGGGGAAATGCCTCGTTGCAGTGGCGGCACTGAAAGATGTGTCGCCAGAAGTGCTGCCCATCGTGACGCGCTTGCTTCCACACATTCCAGGCATGGCATGTCAGAAAGTTCGAGTGCTCTGATTCGGAATGCCTCGTCTTCAAGGGATAGACGCGAAACCTTGCGCAGAGCTAGGTTGAGCTTAGTCAAAGCCAGTTTTGCTTCAGCAGTTTATTCAGCAGTAAGCACTGGACGTGGTGTCGTCGGAGGCGGGTCGGGATGCTGATCGAATTCAGAGGTCCGAGGGGCGGGACAGAAAGTGTGACAGTTGGGCCGGCATGGAAGGGTGCCTTCTGTTCTCGGTCCCCCGGTCCCTGGGTGGGATAAACAAGAAAGCCTCGCAGGGATGATGACGACGACAACGAGCAGTAAAGAACACAGCAGTAACAACCGCATCGACACTACTTGCGCCACGCCGCTCACTTATTTCGGATCGGTCGAAACTTCAGCAGCTTGTCGTTGTTTGTGTCGCCACGTGCACTCGCCGTCCCTGCCCTGAGGCAAAGCTGCCGACATGTGTGCATATTCGGCTTCAAGATGCCTGTGGGCAGCAATGATGTTGAAGGATGACAGACCAGAGGTATTGAAAATCGTTCCGGCGCTTGCCCTTGAGGTTGGGTGCAAGGCAGAGGGTTTGTCCGGACCTGAATTGTCCGAGAGTCTCTTTGCCGCGTCGATGCTGAAAGATGTGGTGCCAGAAGTCCTGACCATCTTACCCAATATCACGAAGCAAATCTTGAAGCAAGAGACTCGACTGGGTCGACGCTCGGCGCTTGCTCTGCGTGCAGTGGTGAAGCTAAAGGATGTGTCGCCTTACTACTTGGAGATCTTGCCTTCGACTGTGACGGAGGCCGTGAGGAACGCCATCCACATGTCTGGTCCCTATTTGGCCTCTTGCCTTTGGGCAGCGGCACAGTTAGTCGAGTTGCGACCAACCATCCTGAAGCTAGTTCCTGTGATTGTGCCAGAAGTCAAGAAAACAGTGGCTCGCATGAGCGCGAGTGGTTTGATTCATTGTTTGTGGGCAGCTGCTGAGTTGCAAGATGTTGCGCCGGAAGTGTTGACGGTTCTTCCGGCCATCGTCCCCGAACTCCAAGCTCAAGCCAGAAAACAGAAACTGGCACATTTGGGCCCTTGCTTGCGGGCAGTGTGGTCCTTAGAAGATGCTTACCCGCAGGTGCTCGCAATCGTGCCATCAATCCTTGCGCAACTTCCTGATGAAGGTGTTGCGTTATCGAGAGAGTCCCTGGGCGGAGCATTGCAAGCTCTTTTGGCAAAGCTGGAGGTCGGAAGCGCTCACAAGCGGCGTGCATCTGACGAAGCGGACCGCGACGTGAAGCTCAACATCACAACGGCAGTTGAGCATGAACCGAAGGAGAAGAAAAGGCGTGTAATGCAAGAACCTGATGCGTCACCAGAAATTTGCCAGTTGGCACAGGTTCCAACACCTGTCCGGGCCGTGGGTGCTTCTGCGTTCTAGGGTTTCAGTGGCAAACGGCCTGTGTAATTTCAAGCGAGCTGGAGGGCCTGCGAATGGTGCAATCAAGCAGATGTTGATGACGTTTGTCATTGTGTGCAGTCTTGTGACTTCTGACCCAATCGCCCTCGCGCTCGCCCGGGCAAGTTCATATAATCTCGGCATGTCCCACCATCTGTACGGATGGCACTACACAATATTTCAGACCTGTCTCAGCGACGATGCTCGCAGGAAAATTGTGTTGCCAGATGATGTCACGCCTTTCCGGGCATGTTCCACGTTGCCGGAGTTTTCTCACACGTCACCCATGCAACTTGAACTTGGCAGTTCAACCAGATCTCACTAAGGGCGCTTCGCCTTGCTCTGGGCGTCCTGCTGCACGCAATGCAAACATGACCGCCGCGTTTGCGAGTGCCAGGAAAAGCGGCGCATGTTGGTCACAGATACGACCGCACTGTCCAATATTGTTTGCCAATGTCGTGGCCGAGCGATGTTGCAAGAAACCCGTTTCCGGCTTGTGATGGCTCTAAAGGCTTGTTTTCGAGCTAATGAAATTTTGGATGCATGCTTGCGGCACGTTTCCAGGCTTTTTTGAGCCTGGCGAAAAGTGCTACTTAGCAGATTGCGTCCCTGGTTGATTCCGATGAAGCCCCCCGGTATGCTCGAGATCAAGTGCCCGTGCCGGGGACATGTGTATCAAATTCCATCTTGCCATGACTCAGGGTATTTAGGCAGTGCTTGTCAGGATGCGCCATCAGGGCTGTTTGTATGTTTGTAGTTTGATCCACGAACCCTGCTGCTCCTAGTTGCTGGTGCTGCTGTTGCTATTGCAGTTGTTGCTGCTTCCTTACTGCTACGACACATACATGGACCACCGCTGGCGCTACTTGTACGGTGCCGCCCTGCAATCTTGGCTCAGACGAGTGTTTGTGGTTTTGCCCGTGCCTCCAAAAACAAAGCAGACGCTGGGATCTTGGTATTTCCGCAAGCTGAGTTTGCACTGCACTCGAACACCCTGTGCCCTCCCGTGTTTCGCACGACCCAAATCCAGGTACGTGTGTGCATGCGACCCTGCCCTGCGCAATCCAGGACATGTCGAAGCCCAACGACGAGGGCCTGGTCTTCGAAACCTCCGAGGATGTGGAAGTGCCCTATATGCCATTGTCTGGAGCATCTGTTTAGTCAATCTCACAATTCGTGCGGCACGATCACACTCAGACCGCTTGCAGGCCTCACAGCGCACATTTCTATCATGATCACAGCATTCAAGGTACTGCCTACGTTCGATGCGCTTGGGCTCAAGGAAGACCTGCTCCGAGGTGAGGGGGAAGGGAAGGCTGCTCTGGTTTGGACGTTAATCAGTGACTTTGGGCGCTTATACCCCTCTGTGGGACAACTTTGGACAGCATCCTGCGCAGTAGAGAAGCGATATTCCACTTCAATCCCGCCCTGCTTGCAGCTGCAGCGTCGCAGTCCCGCACAAGACCTCCTGCAAACTCTGGCAGAACAGTATCATCAGGATGGCATGCCCTAAGTGATTCTCAGATCCATGTCAAGACGTTGCTGCTTGAGAGCGCCAGGCGTCTATGCTTACGGCCCGACACCGAGATTCCATGTTGCCCTTTCGTTTCATAGACGGTATTGCTTTCACGAAGAACGTGGAGACATGCAGAAGCATGAGGATCTTCGCGTACAGAATGTCTAGCACTCCAGACTTGAAGGTTTGCTGTAAGCCCCTAGTTCGGTTCCCAGCACAGGCTTTCGCGGGCTGGCAGCAAAAAGAATCCTCATGACAGAGACCCTTATTTCTCCAAATGCCCATCATTTGGGGCCTCCTTGTGCCTCAATTGGCTTGAATGGAACCTAAGGCTTCGAGCGGCCCTCGGCGGTGCAGCAACGAGCGATTCTTCCCATCCTCAAGGGTCGAGATGTGATTGTCCAGTCGCAAAGCGGTACAGGACGACCCGGGGCTCCTTCCTGTTTTTCTTGGAGACATAGGTTGAAGGGTTCCTCGATATTGACGGAATAAGATGAGAGATGAGACCACCGTAGACTTAGATGTGGCCCGACAGCATGGAAGCGTTCCACCCCTGATCAAGCAGAAAAGTGAGGCCAAGAAAGGGCATGGAGAACCCATGTGACTAGCTCCCTCCGGCACCTGAGTGCAAATCTGGAATGATAACCTCTGCGAGTGGCTTCCAGTCACCCTTGCAGGAAAAACCTGCGTCTTCTGTTTGGGCGCGCTGCAGACTGTTGATACACAGTCACGCGAGCCTCAGGCTCGGGGATTCTCCAGCCGGCAAGATGTTTGCTTCGATTTCAGAAGTGGCTTGGGCTGAGGCCCGAACTTGAATGGTATAGGGGGGGTTGTGTGTCGGAGCTTCTAATGCCTTTGATTCCCTAAACCCTGCCTAAACCCACGATTCGCCCCAGCCGGTCGCTCGCGTTCGCTGCGATCCGTTCCGGAGAAGCCTGGACTGGCAAAACGAACTTTGTGGCTGCGTCCCAGTGACTGGAGCATCAACCCTAAACCCTTAGGGTTGTAGGGTTTAGGGTTCTGTAAACCTGATTCCAGCCCAAGCCCTTCTTGTGAGGCTTTGTTCCTCTCCCCAACACGCGAGCTGGCGGAGCAGAGCCAGAAGGTTTGCCTGGCATTGGGCGACTCGGAAGAAGCTTGTGGTTGAGAGTGTCTTTCGGCTTTTGCTGCTGGGGGAGAGACAGAGAGGGAGAGGTGCCGGATATCTTCGCTGTCTACTGCGTCCCGGATGCTTTTTTGACTAGTCGTGGAGGGCTTTGAGCAGTTTTTTTGAGGGTATCTTATTCTCGTTGAGGAAGTTGTGCTGAGCCTTTCTTGCCTGGACAGCGTTTCCTAGCCTTGGTCGGGCTTCCTCTGATTGGCGGAATGTCGTAGAGTCGAAGAACGCGGTCCGTTCGCGCTGACAGCGACATGTGCTCCGACTCCGGCCATTGAGGTGACTATCTCAACGTGCAGGTTCATGTCTGCATCGGTGGCAAGCGTGTGTCCGATGACATCCACACTTTCGAAGCCGGCGTGCAGATCGTGTCCGGCACACCGGGAAGGGTGTTCCACATGATCCAGCCCCTTGCCGGCTTACAGTGCTGGCTACTGCTTTCGCCGTACGCAGTTGAATCTCAGAGTTACCAGTGTAGTTCTGGGCATGATCGACAGACAAAGCAGAATAATAGCTTAAATCCCTGCACAACACACATGTCGGTGGGGCACGCGGTCCCGCCCAATCAAAATCCCAGCGGCTCAGGCAGCGCCATTTCAGCACACGCCACATCAAGATGCTGGTTTTGGATGAAGCCGATGAGATGCTCAACAGGCTGCCCATTCCGAGTCTCAGTCTTTTTTGTAATTATATGTGGAGATTCATACTGGGGACCGACGGCGTGAAACTGACTGCTCACTTATTGTTCTTGCCTTGGAGCTGCCTTAAAGGCATTTCAAGGCCGAATTTGGAAGAAGTCCAGATGACCTGGGCATTTCCCAGATTCATTTCATGGTGACACCTGTCTTTGAGCAGACTGAGCCTTTGTTCATCGCTACATCTCTTCCGGTGCTTACTTGATCCGGAAACTTGAAGAAGCTTAGATTCTAAAGTCCTAAACCATCCCTAACCCCTAAGCCCTAAACCCAACTTGCACATATGTCAGTTCCACAGACTGTACCCTGCAATGCGGATTCTTCCTAGCTAGGTGGGAGGCAAAAAACCCCTAAAGTAGACCCTGGGCTGATTGCAGCTGTTGGATCAGAACAGAAACGCCTGGAGAGACCGAATTGCGAGAGTCCAAAGCCTGAGCCGTATAAGCCCTGAGCCCCTAACCGAATATATGGGGCCTTAATAATTAGAATATGGTTTGGGGGCATATTATATTATATTTATAATACGGAAACCGCAAAACCTATTCTAATTATTAAATTAAGGCCCCTACTTTGCACCGGTGGCCAGGGGCTTCAAGGAGCAGGTCTACGATATCTACCGGTACCTGCCACCTTCCACACAGGTCGGCTGGCTATGAATTGCAGGGATGCGTGGGCATGAGGGTTTGGTCTTGATTTTCCGTTATACCAAGCAAGGAGCTTCTGCTTCGGTAGGATCACTGGTTGGGCAAAGGCTCGTTTGTGATCATGGTGTTTGCGCCTGTCCTGACTGAGCCAACCAGCACTGGCGCCCCCATCCATCGCATACGGGATGAAATGGATACAGTACCAGTGTGATGTCTGTTGAGTCTAAGAAGTGACATCTCTGCTAGCACTGCCCCCGTAATTTCTGCCGGCATGAGTTCATCGAGCGGTGCACCCCAAAGGCTTGCTGTTTCCAGCTTGACTTTTGGCACCGTTACCTTACAGGTGGTGCTGGTCTCCGCTACCATGCCGTGCCCTGCTTGCACTCAGCATCAGCATCCGCCCGCTCGGCAAGGTAGGATGATTGAGGATTTCGGCTAATGTTGCACTGATAGCATTCCATATCATTCCTTATCATGTCAATTTTGTCTGGCATTGTGCGTTTCCTCCGCCGACTGATTTTTCCACTTTTCAGAGTTTCTTTGTTTCTGTCATGAGCATCCTCTTTTCTATCATGGTGAAACCGGGTTCTTTCACCAGACGACTACTCGCATTGCTAACACCGCCTCCAGTTCTTGCAGTCCTGCAAGTGATGGACCGATGGAAGATATCTTGCACCATTCCAATGGGTCTGGTATAGAGCCGGGAGTTTTTCCCGCTTCTACCTGCATACCTTCGGCGAAAGCACGGGGTGCAGTAGAATTTCCGCGATGTTTAAGGAAGTATTGATTGTAGCCCCATTGCATCAGTTGATTGCTAACTCTGGAGAAGGCACAGAGCTTTCTTCTTGTTGGCCGCTGCTCCGAGCATGCCAAAAGCAAACGCTGTTTTCTGGTTGGAAGGCTTGCTGTTAGCAGCTTGTCTTGATGACCACCACATTCTGGTTCCAGCCTGCACGGCAACTGATATCTTCAACTTGCCACTTTCATTTTCCTGGACTGGCGGCTGGCAATCCGCACCTTGACACGTTCGGTTCGCTTCCTTGCCGCTGCAGGCTGGCACACTAGCCACCTCACCTGTGGGATACGTGGTGCCGCATCGCTGCGGCAGTCCCCCCCCGGGGCCGAGTCGAATTTCTGGGGCAGTCTCTCAACAAACACAGGAATGAGATACTTGGGGTTCAAACCCTCACAATTGTTGCCGTGTCCGGACCTTCATATAACTGCGACATCGCTCCAGGCTAGCTGCCCCACCCGGGCTACATATTCTATCTGACTCGTTTGCAGGGCGCGTCAACTACCAGCCGACCAGCCCGCACGGCGACTGACTGAACTTGCCAACTTTACCCCTGGACCGACAACTCACATCTGCTTGATATGTTCAACTCGCTTCCTTCCCGCTGCGCACTGGCAGCCCAGACCGGTGTGACTTTGATTGACATCAGCTCTTTCCAAGCCCACAACCTCACCGGCACGATATGTTCCATCTGACTCCTTTAAGGGGGTAATTACTAGCCCACACTGCGATTGACATTTCCAACTTGCCACCTTTCGCCCCTGCGCTGACAGCTCACATCATATGTTCAACTCCCTGCGGGCTGGCAGCCCGCACCGGTGTCACAGTGGCATCAGCTCTTTCCAAGCCCACAACCTCACAACCTCACCGGCACGATGTGTTCCATCTGACTCGTTGGACGTGAATCACCGGGCCGCACGGCGACTGACATTTTCAACTTGCCTCCTTTTTCCCCTGGGTTGAGAACTCGCATCCGCTTGAAAGGTTCAACTCGCTTCCTTCCCGCTGCGGGCCGGCAGCCCGCACCGGCCTGATACGTTGACAATAACTCTTTCCACACCAGCAACCTCACCAGGACGATGCTGAGTATTCCCTCTGCCTCGTCGGCGGGGATGGGGGGAGTGAAATATCAGCCAAAAGTGCCTTTTTCCCTTGGGTTGACAACTCACATCCGCTTGATATGTTCAACTCCCTTCCTTCCCGCTGCGGGCTGGCAGCCCGCACTGGACGTTAGCTCTTGCCCAGCAACCTCACCAGCAACTTGGTTTTAATCATATGCTGACACAAGCGTTTCCTGGTTAGCAACCTCGCCTGAGTGAAATGTTTCAACTGACTCGTCTGCAGTGCGGGCTGACGGCCGATTGATATCTTGAACTTGCCTTCCTGTCCGGCCGGCAACCGACACCTGCTTGATGTGTTGATTTTGCTTCCTTTCTTGCCTGACTCGTATCCCCGACTGCCATGACATGCTGAACTTGAGTCGGGTGCGCAGCCGCCGTGTCCTGTGCTAAATCCGTCCGTCGCCGGTAGGGCTAAGCGGCTATACTACACCCTGTACTTCTTCTATCTATGACTGTGCCCGGTTGTAGAATGCTGCCTTTGTTTCATTTTGCTGTAGCCTGCACTGCCATGCATTGTTGTGTCGTTCCAGTCCTCTGCCAAGCAATGTAAGGTTGCCAAGAGCAAAGAAATCAAACACGACAAGCATAAACCGGTGAGAGATCGGCCCTGAGTTGTGCAGCAGATGCTCCGCCAGTACACAACTCACTACAAAGAGGGGCAGCAAAGTCAGAAAGAATTAAAAGTTTGAGTTCTAAGACTTCCAGGCACGAGGTCCTGGAAATGACCCACAAGTTCATGTGGCTTGGACGCAGAGCTGGAGGTTTTTGTTGTACGGTTTGGGGGCTTTCGTATTCAATTTGAAGGTCCTCAAAGCCATGCAGGTCTTAGGTCAGGATCAGGATAAAATACGAGTTTCGATGATTGCTTGCAGCCTTGCGCCCGCCATTGTTCACTTCGGGAAGCACAAATTGCGACATTTTAGCCCAGGAATAATCCTTTCCGCGTCCTGGTGAAGCGTGACGAGCCCCTTGTCTTTCCAGTGTCATAGTTAATGAGTTAATGCCTGCATGAAGACACACTTGCACATGCATATGGATATTGGGTAAGTTTGGTAGCCCAGGTTGGGCACTCGTTTGCCTTGCCTCATGTGCAGTGGCTGTGAGGGATGTTCTCTCAGGAGGACTTAAGGCATTCAGGAAATGGGAGCTTTAGATCGGCTTGTGAAGGCTTAGCCGTGACGACAGGCTGACGCTGGAAGGCATCAAGCAGTTCTTCGTGGCCGTGGAGCGCGAGCAGAAGCTTGACCGCGCTCAGTTGCTGTCGGTTAGGGGCAGGAGGGTGTCTGGTCGAAGGAGCGGGCAAGAGCACAGAAGTCTGTCAGTCTTTTTGATGAATGATGAACCTTCCGTGAACTGGGAGTGCAAGGCTTGTGACCTGTGTTTCTTACATGTGAGCAGTGTTAACAAGTGCCTCTGAGCACAGGTGGAAGTTCGATACACTCTGCGACCTGCAGCTCAGCTCCGAAAAGTTCGCTGCTCTCCTTGCTGTAACCCTCCAACCGCATGCAGAAAGGAGCGTGAATACCCATTTGGGATTGAGGGTGGATCGGGTTGCTGGAAGCAGGCGATCCTGAGACATTGCACCGAGGTACGACACTCTCACGATTACCCAGGCAGGAGTGTCTGAAGCCATTTCGTAGGTAAAATCATGGCTCTTTAGAGTGGGGCTCTAGCGCTGTTGTAGTACCAGGCGGTGATCTTCTGCAACACGAAGCAGAAGGCTGGGAAACGGAAGCTTTCACAGTCTCATCTTCAGGCTTCTGCCTCTGAAGATGCTTCTTGCGAGGTGGATTGGTTGACACAGAAGATGCGTGATGCCAACTTCACGGTTTCTGGGTTGCAGAGATCTGTGAACTGAGAGATGCTTAATTAATTTCTCTCAATGGGACGATTCTGAACACCGTGAGCGCGCGCCACTGGCAATTTCCCTTTGATGTCTTTGTCTACGGACTCTAGACTGGGGCTTCTGGGGTACGGCATCGCGCCCATGTAAGAAGATGCTGACCTGGCAGAAGCATGCTCTTTTCCTGAGAAGCTCTATAGCTGCATAGCCCATGTGCTTGAGGTTGCTTCAATCCACGGTGACATGCCCCAGAAGGAGCGAGATGCAATCATGCAGCAGTTGCAGCCTTAGCATTCGCCAAAGGCACAAGAGCAAGTGCACATCAAGAGTCGAACCCTAAAAAGCCTCAAGGTTCCGCTCGGGCACAAGCCGAGTGCTGATCTCCACAGACTTGTGGGGGCGTGGTTTGGATGTGCAACAGGCAGGCCTCGCGGACATTTTCGGTGCGGCTCGCGTGCATGATGCATTCTGCCTGCAGGTGTCTCTGGTCATCTGCTATGACCTGCCGAACAACCGCGAGCTGTACATTCATCGCATCGGTCGATCGGGACGATTTGGGCGAAAAGGTGTTGCCATCAACTTTGTGAAGTGGCTCGGCAGGAACTCTTTCCTTAGCTGAGCAGGCAAGTTCCCAGAAACGTTGTGCATCGTGCACGGCCGAGACCAGTCACATGAATGTTTAGCTCGACATGCTGTTGGCTTGCTCAGGGGCTGTTAGCGAGTGTCTATACTGCTTGCCTCTCTGTCCACGACCAAGCGACCAAGGAACGATGACATTCGTATTCTGCGAGATATTGAGCAGTGCCCATCTCAGAGTAAGGTGGACGCGAACATATCTAGGCAGTGACGGCCACGCATGGCTACTCTCAAGACCGATTATCATTGAGCCTTGAAAAGCCAATCGGATTCAATGTTGGGCAGTGCAGTGTCGTGGTTTAGGGAGGTGCTTGTGTAACGGAGGTTCTACTCCACCCAGATCGATGAGATGCCCATGAACGTGGCAGACCTTATCTAGACGGTTCGGCTGCAAGGCCCGACTCTGAATTCAGCCAGACATCATCCTGCCATGATGTCGGCACGAGTCATGTGGGGAGGGAGGTCCCAGAACCCTGCATTCAGCTAAGGCACCGGCCGTCGTACAGGGCACCCAGGATGGCCAACGAGACTGGCAGGAAAATGCTTCACCCCAGAGTGGCCCCACGATGTTCAGAGGAAGGATGCGGACCCAAGACGTGGCTGTCTACAATAAAGAACAGTCGAAGATCCGCTAGACTCGAAAAGAGTGTTGTCATGTGGGGTAAGCATTCGGCGAGAGCGGGAGGTCCAGCGAGTGGAGTCTGAAGTCCTACCATAGTTGAGCCCATGTGTTGGTGCTGAGTTCACGACGAACTAGAAGATTTGTTTATCAAGTTCTTCATCGACGACAGCATGATCAGTAGCAGCAACGGCCGCAACGACGATGCCGGAGACAAGGAGCTGGACCAGGCGGAGGAGGAGGTGCTCCACCACCACCACCACCACCACCACCGCCGCCATCGACAATACCAACTGCCACAGCCCTATAGTCGAAGAACATACTGGGGACGCTACGCTCAGCGCAAGGTAGATCAAAATTCGTCGTGTGCATGAGTGTTTGTTGTTTCTGGTATTGATCATGGGACTTGTGTTTTGCTCGTGTATCGCAAGTTCTGCAATCACGACGACGACGACAGCTGCGACAGCGGCAGTGGCGACAACAAACCAACCCACAAACAAGCAATCAAGACAACAAACGACAGACAAACGAATCAACAACACGCGAAGATAAACACAAGAAGCAAGCAATGTTGAAATTGTGCGTACTGGACATGAATGTTCCAGCTCTTTGTTGTACAGCCTTGAATTGACAAGGCAGCAAGGGTATGCAAAAGGGGTATTCGTGTTTGGTCGTGCTGGTGACGGCATTCGTGCAGCAAGTTATAGAGTCGGGTTGCTACTTGCTGACTGTCATCAGCGAAATACGCAAGATTATGAACTATGAAATGCAAAATAATCGGTACTACATTTTTGAAAATCCAAAAGCTACATTCGCGTGAGACCGTGCCGGCGTGTCCACATCTGTGCAAGATGTCATCTGTAGTCTTTGTATTATTGTCCCGCTGGGGAGTGTCACCTTTGGGCTTTGAGGAATGACCTCCAACATCCCGATATTTCCGTCCAAGCCTCTCCAACATGAACAGAAAACTAGCTCGGAGGTCGTGGTTCAACCACAACATCTAACCGATCTTGTCGGTCCTGAGAAGATCTCAGAAGATATGTACACGCATCAATATGTGCGTACGCGTATGCTGCAGATATGATGTGATATGATTTTGCCCAAGCGCCATGTAGTTACGCTGTGTGTGTGTATATATGTATGTATATACACGCATATGTATATATGTATGTATGTATGTATGTTTGTATGTATGTTTGTATGTATGTATGTATGTATGTATGTGTATACATATATATATATGTGTGTGTGTATATTATATATATATATGTATGTATATATGTATATGTACATAAGCAGACATACATACATACGTACATACATACATACATACTTGCGTGCATACGTGCATGCATTATTCATACATACATACATACATACATACATTCCTCCCATCAAGACAGACAGACAGACAGAAAGACAGACAGACAGATGCACACACATACATAGACGTACATGCTTGCTTAGCCGATCTACGACCTTGCTTATTTCCATCTATTTGTAGATATCCACATAGAACACGTAAAAGGGAACTCGGAACTTAAACGCTACTGTAGCCCCCCTGCCCCAAGTCCGAAGTCCCAAAGCCTCCCCGGTCTGAGCTGGGCCTCACAGTGAGGTGTCCGCAGGGCGGGGCCTCTCGGTAGCGAGCACGCGCGGGAAAAGCCGGGGAGGGAGAGCGTTCAGTTCAAGGCTTAAGGCTCAGGGCCAGGGGAAAGGCTCAACCGAGGATTTAGGGGTGCTCGCTGCCAGAAGCAAGGTATTTGCTCATGTTTGTCCGCAAGGCTACAATCATGTCTTGTGGTTTCCTGCCTTCCGACTTCACATGCCTCTCCCTGTTAACCGAGCAGCCGGGGCCTGTAGCTTTCCTTCTTCTGAAAGTCGCATTGGCCCAAGACCGGCCATGCGGCCGCAGATGTTATGAGGACGGTGTTGGACGCTTGGTTGCACAAGAGCATCTGCTCCAATCCTCGGTTGAAGTCCCACTGGGTGTCGAACATATCCTTGTGCCCCATCTGCCCTGGGATTTGAGGTACTTTTGGGTTTTGGAGGGCCTGGGCTTTGTGAATTGAGGCAGCCGCGTCGCCGAGAGGCTAGCTGTGCGGAGGTCGGATTGTCAGGGCTGATTGCCAAAGGATCAACAGAATCGCGACATGGGGCCCTAGGTTTTTGCGGGGATGTGCTCAAATGTGGTAAGCGATTGAGCCCAGGCAGCTTTTTCCGAGCTCCACCCTTCTGTCAGAGAGAGCTGGACAGGTGAGGCTTTCCTCCGATGACCTCGGACATGCAACTCTCGCGTTCTTGAATGCTTGGGGGCCGGTAGTTGCTTGGTCAGGGGAACTTCTTGATCCCTCCCCCCAACGATAGAGCCCCTCCTTCCTCCCTGAGAAAAATAGTAGGTCTTGGCTTGTTTGGAGCTAATGCAGGGGAAATCTTGCGAACTGAAATTGGTTGGGCTTAAGCTTATACTTTGAACAGACCGATGAGCCCTGTCTAAGTGGTCGCGGCCCAGAAGCAGCAGCAGCTGCTGCTGTAGCAGTAGCAGCATCAGGGGCAGGAGACTTGTGGCTTAGTGTTTGAAAGGGTTGTGGTGGTAGCAGTCGTCCTAGTCGTCGTCGAAGTCGTAGTCGTAGCCGTAGTGGTAGGAGTAGTCGTCGTAGTCGTTGTAGTAGTCGTCGCCGTAGTAGTAGTCATAGGAGGAGGAGAAGTCGGAGTAGTGGGTCGTGCTCGTCGTCGTAGATCGGAGCGGCAGCGCTGATGGTGGTGGCGGTATGTATGTATATAAATATATATTTATTCATTTATTTGTTTAGTTATTTATTTATTTTATATACAGGTACACATTTCAATGGTGATCAGATGGAGTCGTAATCTGTTTGTCTATGAGTTGCTGGTAAAGCACTGCCAGATCGATCGCGCCAGACGCGAAGCGCCCGCGCCTGGATGGAGGCCGCATCCCTCGTGTGAGACAGTGTAGGGCGGGTTTTCGGCTTCAGCTGTTGTTCCACATTGGCGCTTGTTCTAAACTACGGTGTTTTTGCCAGTGCAGCTGCAGCAGCAGCCGGCTGGTCTTGTCACCCTGTCCACGTTCAGAAGTCACTTTGCCTGGGAGGATGTTGCCAAAACTTGTGCCTTCTGCTGCTGTCTCAAGGTCGGGGCATCAGAATTTTGTCAGTTTGTGCAACGACTCCTCGGTGCAGCACATATGCCCAACTCAGCCCTCCATGCTGCAGACAAGAGTACACACGCCAGCAAACTTCAGCAATTCTCAGGCTTAGGAATTTAGGCACCTGAGACTTCCCAGCGAAAGCCTGGCCATGGTTGTTTGTCGTCGATCCCCTTAATTCGGCGTATTTCATCGCGCTGTCACTGTCCAAAGCCGACTCAGTGGCGATGTCACAGCTGGCTGGCAGCCAGTCAGGGTACGCCCCTGTCCCTCAACATGACACCTCAGATGTGCCTGGCCCTCAGTATCCCCTCACGGGCGAAGGCATGGAGAAAGGTGAGCCGGATGGCTGCAGCAGGGAATGCGCCGGTATCTCCGAGATTCTATGCACTTGGATGAACCTCTTGCTCGTCTTCGTGCCACTAGGAGTATACAGCCATTTCTATCACTGGAGCGCGGCCGCGCGCTTTACGTGTAACTTCGTGGCTATCGTTCCCTTGGCCGCCATCCTGGGCGGTTCCACAGAAGCCCTGGCCGCCCACACCGGACAAATGATCGGCGGGCTTTTGAACGCAACGTTCGGAAACGCCGTGGAGATGATCGTGACTGTGAATGCCATCAAGGCAGGCCTCGTCAATGTAGTGCAGGGGAGCCTTTTGGGGTCAATTCTCTCGAACATGTTCCTTGGCAATGCATTTGAAGTTGTTTTTTCAATGTAGCTTTGCATCAACTTTACCTGGGAGACGCTCTCTTGCAGCGCAAATACTCCAGGCTCTTGGTCCTTGGCATGTCCTTCTTTGCGGCTGGGGTGGTGGAAAAAGAGAGCAGGTTCAGTGCCAAGGGGGCCTCCGCCAACATGACATGCTTAACTCTGGGATCCATTGCTCTGGCCTTGCCCACGATCTACAACTGCATGGCCCCTTGCCTGATTTAGGCCCGCTCCCAGGTCGATAGCAGTCCGGCTGAGCAAGCATCGGCGATCATTGGTCTTTTTTGTTGCGTTTCGATTTGGACCTGGTCCTTTTGATGCTTGGGTTACCAGGGATCTTTGGGATTTTGGCCGTCTGTGGCTCCTTCAGCCTCTGACCGGGAAGCGATTAGGCATGCATGGGCGGCATGGGTAGGCGGCCTTTGTTTTCCCCACACCTTCGGCGGTGACAAGACTCGAGACTCCCCGTTGTGGAAAGCTCGGCTCAGGAGAATACCTCCACAGAGGATGTGCTGAGTATCTCACGCATCTCCTCAGCAGTCATCGCATTCGTCTACGCTTCTCAACTGAAACATAGTTTTTGTTGGTGACGTCTTGCTGCTAGTTCTCCTGGTCAGGGTGCTCCAGAGCATGGGAAGCCACACGCACTTAGCGCCCAGAGAAACATGGGTCGCGGAAGCTCTTCAGCCTATGAACTTGGTCAGCTTGTAAATTGTAAAGGCTTTGAGTAGATCTTGGGCACTTTCCCGGCGTTTGTCAGAACGTCGAGCTTCTGTTTCCACCCGGAAAGACAAGCCTCGGATCGCCACAATTCAGGTGCTCTTTCTCGTCTTCCAGCTCTTCACGCATGCCCACCTCTTCGCAGCAGAGGGCGGCGAGGAGAGTTCTTCCAGCTGTCGCGACAACAGCATGGACACATATCGGCAAATGCTGTAAAGCTAGAATTGACAATGACGTCGCGCCAGGACGAAGAAGTCTCCATTTCCGCTCTCTCGGCTGTCCTTCTGCTGCTGCTCGGCAGACTTGTGCATAATTCGCCTTGAGGCCGCGACTTGACAGTGTCGTTTCTCAGTTCGAGGTTCGACTGTACCCCGAAAGTTCACGGATGCCGTTTTAGTATGTTGTCCAACTGAAGCGTTGAGAACTAAGCAGTTTTACGCAAGTAGCCCTCTCGCGACATGCTGCCCCCTAAGTTCCACTCGCTTCGTCAAGACAGGTCCTGGTGTGAGTCAGAGTGTTTCAGATTGTTTCAGAAATGATCCCGTCTTGGATGAGGTTGTCGCGCATTCTGTCATGAGTGGTTGTTAAGTCAGGTCGTATCCCTGTGTTAAGTGCGATTGAGACCGTGGAGGGTCAATAAAGCAAGAGCACTGTCGCCGAGGATCTTTGCGACACTCGCCGTGGCCGTATGCTCCGAATATCTCGTGGACTCTATCGAGGGTGTCACCGAGGAATTTGGCCTGCCAGGACTGGGTGGTATCAGCATGAGATGTTTCTGGGGGCTGATATGGGCTGATTTGGTTTGACCATAAACCCCCGACTATAACAGCTGCAGGGCAAGAGTTATAGCCTGTTGTCCCGTGCAGAAGTGCGGAATAGACCAAGAATGAGTCACAACAGTTAGAGACTGGGTAGTTGCAGGGGTGGTAGGGGTAGCATGTCTGTCCTCATCGTAGTCGTGGTAGAATATCTTTACCTAGTGCTCCTAGTACACCCCAGAGTACGTAGTAGGTAGTGTCGTACAAGTACCGGGATAGCAACAGGAAAATCGTCGTCGTCTCGTCGTCGCCATTCGTCGCCGTAGTGTTAGTGCGAGCGCACCAACAGGATTTTCGGTAGCAGTTGCTCTTACAAGAGAATTTGTTTGCTTGCTGCAGCTGCTTGCGCTCTCGCTCCTGCCGGTCGTGCGGCTACTGCTGCTGCTGCTGCTGCTACCTCTACAACAACAACTACTACTCCTCCTCCTCCT